TGTGTAAGTCCTTGCGTATATACATCTGTACTGTATCTATCTACTCCTTTACATTATACACAGATGAACATGAATCCACCTAAAATTCCTACACTGTCTGTAGGACATCCAGTGAAACACAGAACACAAGATGCTTGTGACCCACGGGGGGCTACACAGAGCCCACATCACCCATCAACATCCAGATCACGGTTGTAGAATTAGGTCTGCACAAGAAGCTGTATTAACACTCAGTGGAAACAATGTTCAAAGGGATCTCCAAGTCTTATCTCCTACTGTAGAGACATTTTTTCTCCCTGACTTCTATGCCATCTGCAGACGAGGAGCTGTCGCTCCCACTGAGGATCTGCTCTCACTGAAAAAGTAAAAGTCCCTGCCTCTTCTTGTGACAGCATGCAAACCCACACACACATAATTATGAATGTGTGTATGCAAAATATATACATTAGTGGTCCTCAAATTTGAGCATGCATCAGAATCATCTGGAGAGCTTGTTAAAACACAGATGGTCGCTTCTTACCCTCAGAGTTCTGCTTTAGTAGGTCGTGGGAAGGGGTGGGCTAAGGATATGTGGTTAGAAGAACAATATCAAATCACAAAGCCAGCTGTACACATTAGCACACATCCATGGGGTTGAGCCTGAGAACTTTAAAATGACCTCTTCTCAAAGAAATTGGGCTATGGGTAAAAAAGGCAACAAAACAGAAAATAAGACCTTCTTTCCTCAACTCCGGAGGGCTTATTTTAGTTTCTCGTGATGACAGTCAATCACTCTCTTCTTGTTGCCATAATGTATGATATACATAGTGAATACTGTGAGCACTTGCTCGTGGGCAAAGGTTAGGGGAATCTTTGAAGCTGATAAAATGTGGAAGAGATGGGCAGATTTGCTTCAAAAGCACATTACAGTTTGCTAAAGAGGCAGCTACAACTGGTCATCCCATCATCTAAATTTGTAGCAGACAAAGGAAACATACACACATACACGCGTGCACGCATGTCCACATCGATGTGTGTGTATATATGTATAGATAGATTGATGGGGGTGGGGGCCCTCCTGTTGGTTGTTCTGAAGGATTTCCTTTGAGAGATAATAAACCAAACGAGCCAAGCCTAAATGGGAGGAGTCTGACTCATCTGGGATTTTATTAAGATAGAGCTGACATGTTTCATTGGTTTAATATCTTGTAGACCTTGATTTGAGCTTGGCTAATATCATCATGTATGACAAAGACACAGCCAGCAAACCCAGCACAGCACTTTAGCAATTGCTCTCCTTGGACAAAGAACTATTTACAGATAAGATTAAATTTATGTGGGCTGATAAGCTAAACATTATCTGGTACAAACTGTCCACCACCCTGAAAGGAGTTGATAAATACATCAATAACTCATCTGGATTTCTACAGAGGGGGGCCTCTTATCAGAAGGCCATCCAAGCTATGACGAAATGTCCTGAATAGCAAGGAAATGGTAGACTATAGAATGGGGAAAAGACTGGACACTTTGGAGTTTTGTCTTGTACAACCCAACAGCCTAAACAACCCAGGGCCATCATCTGAAAAACCAGCTTTCTCTTGTTAGCTACAGCTACCCAACCCATGTGCTCTCTGATTTTAGGGACTTATGTAAAGACTTCTGCAATGATAGTAAACGGCTGGCACAAGATTAGAACCGTGTTTCTGCCCTGGAAGTGCTGCGGGGTGGGTTTAGCTGAAGAAATATGCACCTTGCACATCTTCAAGAGCTCAAGAAATGCGCTAAGTTGAATTAGAGGCTAAATTAGTGGCTCTGTGTCAGAGACTTTGCAGTCTTGAAGCTTTAGATGATGGAAACTGCAAGGAAAAGAAATACTTAATTCATCCAAGTGTCTTGGGGTGATTTTGAACTTGCTCAGCAGACTGGTCCCGCCCGGGGACAAGCAGGCTATTAATCCCTATGGGACGTCACTACTTCCGTCCTAGTCCCAGGTTAAGTCCCAAGACCCATGAGCAGGTGGTGATGAGAGAAACCTCTCCAGGGTCTACATTCCATGTTACACGGTCGGCTCACAACAAAGTAAAACCCTTAGCGCTCAGCCGCTGCTGTAACTTGGGTATTTTTCGTATCAGTTTTTGAATTGCTGGCTTTAGTCGAATGGGTACAAGAAATGATATCAAGGATTTAGAAAGGAATCAATGTCTTCAATGAATGTAAATGAACTGTTCACTGTTGGTGACAGTGGCATCTCTATTTGCAGATCTCTATTTCCAAATACTTTGAAGTTTTCCCTCTGCAAGGAATTAGCAGCTTGACTTCAAGATCGACAACTTCAATAGAGAGCCAAGAGCCACTGTCCTCCAGGCTCCTTATTGCCAATCTTTTGTTTGCAAAATGCTACTCCTTTTCTCCCTGGGAAAGCCTCAGGTCAGCTGCCAGGCCCAACATAGTTTTCTTAGTCATCCCAACTACGTTAGGGGCAGGCCATGGAGTAATATAAAATGATGCAAGTGTATACAAAGTTATAAAGCCCACAGGAGCTAGCCCTCAGCACAGTGCATGTATGCACTGACTGGGAGGAAAAACGGGCGGCTTTTATTTATTTCTCCGGCTGCCAAATACCAATTGGTTATAAAAATTACATCAACTCCATATCTCTCATTCCAAAGCCTCATAGATTGGTGGAAGAGGTTCATCACCTGTGGGCTCCACACGGAATGAGTAAGGCACCCGGGTTGCTGGGGGCTGTGGCCCTGTTGATGAAGGCAGTTCCCTATGCTGAGACATCACTTTTGGTTAGCTTGGTGTATCTGTGGGTGGTTGGAGAGAAACACTAGGGAGAGGTGACAAGGGAGGTTTTTGAAAAGAACTCTAAAGGCAAAACAGTTATTTTATACAGAGTCTTAGTGAAAAATTGCTTTAAGGGAAGGCACTTTGATCTAGTTGGTTTGAAAGATCTTTTTCAACCCAGGACTATTGATTTGCCGAATTAAAAGTACTCATTAAGATTAACTCCGTGAACATTTACTGGGCTCCCACTATGTGCTGAGTCATTGGAGGTATAAAGGTAACGATGGTCTGATCTTGTAAGTATGCATCAGATACCATTACCTCAATTAGAGATTGCAAACAGGATCTCCAGAGGAGTGAACGATCTCACCAGAGATATGACAGTTATCAAGGAAAACCAATAATGTGGCCCCATGCTAAGTCTTTTTAACCACCCCAACAGTCACAGGGATGGTTAAAATATCCGGTCAGAGACCATGCACAGTAACGAAATGTGTTTTTTCATTATTGTCCAGTTGAGCTGCGGCCATTTTCTTAAAGGACAGCTTTCAGGCAGGACTCAGAAGGGCAGGCCCCGCTCTTATTCAGGAGGGTCGCTGCCCAGAAGGAGCGAGCTAGCATTTTGGTTGCATGCCCACTTGGTTAGATCAAGGAGACCTAAATCTATCCATTTGCTTATTCAGACAGTCCCTATCACCAGAATATCTCAAGGTCTTAAGATTTCTTGTGCTTACATCTTCAAGTACCCATAAACACAGTAATCTCTGGGGTCAGGGAATAAAGAAGAGGTTCACATTTTATTTGGTTGTGGGGGGTTGAGATATGTTCTAAGGGACTGGTTGGTTATCATCGACATGACAGGGACATAATCTAGGCAGATTGCAAAATGCTTTACAGCTCATCCTCTCAGAATGATAAGATTAAAAAGGAGATGGGTATCATTTGTCTGTAAAGACTACAGTGATTAAAACATTCAAATTCTGTCTTCCTATACATGCGTACGTCTATACATACATCTTTGGGGTTTTGCTATAGGATGGCCTACATAGGAAGCTAGAGATTTGTTTCTGCTGCTCTAGTTCGGCTAGCAAACTAACCAACAGGAATGAGTCATCACCACGTATGAAGGAGGGAAAGTTCTAAAGACTAAATATATGTGTACCTAAGAGCCTTATCACCTGTTCTATCCTTCTGCAACTTAGAACAAGAGCCAGGTGTATACTGAAGTTTTGTACAAGCATGTTTAACTAGCTTGCCAGTCATGTGGCTTAATTTGAGTGTGGAGAGCTAAGACATGCATGAAGGGGCAGGCTGACAGTTAGTTGTTCTCCTAACACTCAGCCAAAGGAAACGTCTGCCTACAAAGAATCCTGCTAGGCCTGGTGACTTCTTCAAACCTAGTTTTCTATATTGGAAGGCACCTAGGAGGCATTCAACAATCATCTAATAAATGAACGAACACGTGAACAGAGGAGTGAACAGATGAACAGAGTGAACAGAGGCTTGCTATAGGGCCAAGCATGGGAGCCCGTTGCACTGTTGCAAGCATGCTCCTGGGCTGTTGTTTTGAGTCCTGTGGTTCAACATACAGCCTCCCCCACCCCACCATGATCGCCCATGGTCATGTGCACACAGCCATCACTCTCAGGCTGGCTCACCTGGAGGAAAAGATTTAGCCCTGAGACAGTCCCCTTTGGGGAGGGTGTCTGCCTGGAACATTCCACGAGTCTCATTTTCCTGGCCCGGCAACAGTCATTTTGGAAATACTGAGAAGCAGTGAGAACATGTTTATAAGATGGCATACTTTCCTGTTCTGTGCGATGTTTGAGTGCATCCTGCATACGACTCTGACATGCAGGATGGACTGGTTATTTTTGCTTCCCGATTAAAGATAGTTTTGCTTTTCAGAGAACAAATTCACCTCATCAAGGCTTAAAGGCCGGGACAATGACAGGCGCTCACCCGACTCACACTGGGCTTTTCACAGAGTAAGACCTGGCACACAGTTAATGCTTAATAAATGCTTTCTGATAATGGTGTTATTCTAGTTTAAAGAATAATCAAACACAGGCATGAACTTACAAATATACCCCCAGAGTGATCTCTATTGGTCTTGGAGAAAGCCTCTCAGGTGGATCTCAGACCGTGTGGAAAGCCTGTTAAGGTTGCCCTTACGTCGATGACTTCAGGCCTCAAATGAGGTCAGAAACCCCTTGATTGGAGCCACATACCTGAGGTGGGAATTGTGTCGGAGGGGTCCTTGTCAGGACACAGGATTTCCGTTCCGTCTCTCACCTGTAATGAGATGCACAGAGAAGGAGTAGAAATGGATCTTGCAATGCAGGAAACTGGATGAGAAGCAGGGTCTTTACTTGGAAAACACTGGTCAATACAGAAACCTAGGTATCGCTTAAGATAACCTCCCTCTCCTTCAACACTCCTATCCGAGTGTCTATGACATCCTTTCCTAAATGATCCCCATCCTGTCCCCTCTCCTGTAGTCCCTCCATCTGGGCCTAGGCCCAGGCCTGTGTTACTTCTTGCCTGGAATACCGCAGCATCCACAGCCTTCAGTCCTGTGGGCTTCCTCCCCAGCCTCTGAGCCCATAAAGATGATGTGCTCTCTCCCCAAACATAATAGAAATGTGTTATCCCCGCCCCCGCCCAAATTCTCCGTGAAAGCAGGGATTTCTGTCTGTTTTGTGTAACGTATCTTTATAGCCCCGAACAGTGCATAGTAGATGCTTGATAAGTATTTGTTGGTTGAAAAAATACATTTCTGCTGCACTGACCCCAGCATGAATTCCATCCTCTTTAACACATCCCAAGAGGACCTGACATTCTAAACCATCAGCTCTTGACTCAGTTCTCATGTTCTCCATGTCTCTGCCCAAGTTTACCTCCAGCCCCCCTTACCTTTCTCTCCAAGTTCCCACACTCCCATCCACCTGGTCACCCTTAGTCATCCTTCAAGGTTGGGGTCATTTGTACTCTTTGGGAAGCCTTGTCAACTCTCTCTGGTTGGTTGCTTCCTCTATGTTCCAGAATACCCACGGAAACTTTAATTATAGGACTCACTCCACCATGCCACAATTGCTGGTTGGTTGCACTGGGCTGAGTTCCTCGCGACACGTGATGTATTTTATCCGTGGTTTTCTCTCTTATGTCTGGCATTCCTCCATCCACCCACCCATTTAGCCATTTGACAAATAGGGACTGGGTACCTGCTCTGAGTCCCTGCATTCCAGTGGTACACAGAAGGTACTCAATAAATGTATCCCAAGAGAATGTGTTGCTCCTTCTCATCAGATGACAATAATAGCAACACTTATACAGAACTTAGGGCATACCAGATGCCTAGTAGATGCACTTTATACTTACTAATGTAGTATAATTTAAGAACAACTCTATGAGATCAGGCTGTGACTATCATTTCACAGATTTAAAAAACATCAAGGCCCAGAGATGGTAAGCACCTTGCCCAATGACACAGAACCAGTAAGTGGAAGAGTCTGGATTTGAACCCACAGCTGGTTCTCTCACCTCACGGTACCATGCTGCCTCCGGGATGTATCCTCATGGCGGAGATATTTGTTAGAAAGTGTGGGACACGTTGGTAAATCAAAGGTCTTTCACACTCTATCGCTCAGGCTCTGTGGTGGGGACCCAGGCTGTCAGCTTTGCCTGTGCCCCCCAGAGTGCCTGTCATCCTCTCTATACAACAGGGAGGCAGGGATGGCACGAGGACCAAAGTCGTCTCCACTAGTAATGGCCCCAGTCCTCTGAGAATGAGGATGTCAGCCTTCAAGTGTTTCCCGGCTCCTCAGAGGAGTGCAGGGTGCCCTATCTAATTTTGACAGGAAATATCAGAGAGACTCATGAGATAAGCACCCAGTGAGACGTGAGTGTGAGGAAGCCCCTGCAGGTATGCGCCAACTTCGGAGGCCTGTGGGTCTCCATGCTGTCTGGTTTCAGACTTTACCACATTGTTCTGCTTTTTCTTAACTTTCCCCTCAGTTTAAGGGCTCAGATGCGTCTAATGATTTGGGGTGGGCCTGAGGAGTCTTGTTTTACATCAGAATAGACAGGCAGGAGGCCCGTGGTGCTGAGTACCCCACGCACCCCTGAAGCCTCAGGATGCTGGTTGCTGAGGTAGAGCTGCAGGGTAGACCTGCTTCAAGCACCCGGAGGGGGGGGGGACAGCCACACATTTGCCCCTTCGCCCTTTCCAGCCTGTTCACGGAGTTCCAGGACCTAGAGCACCACGTGGAAGGTTCCAAAGATCCAGCAAGGGGTCCCCTGCCCCTGGTTCATTTGCATGTTTGTCAGTCGCAGAAAACCTCAGCCTACCTCAAGCCTCTCCTGAGATTTTGGCAGCCTGGGCAGGTAGTTGCTGTTGTTGTAGGTGAACAGATAGGGATTCTCCTGCAGAGGAAGGTAATACATTGTAACCGTGACCTAGAAATCAGTTATCATTCATTCATCAGGCTGTATCACCCAGCAACGCCTCCTTTGGCCAATTTGGAACTTTCATACCATCCTTGAAATGATGAGAAAACCATTCTCTGGCTTTTCTTCTCTGCTCATTAGGTCTCTGAAGGAACTCATTAATACTTTGAAATTTCCCATTTCTAACTGTCAGCATCTCTTGCTACCTGAACTTCATGCTACCAGGCAAAGTACATATATTTCCATAAAAAGAGAACTTAGTTTTAAGCTTCCTGGCAGCCAAGGCAAAGAGGGAAATTGGATGAATTATATAGTTGTTACAGCGCAGTAATAAAAACTTACCAATTCAGTATTTAACTAGCATTAAATGATAAAAAGGAATTCTCGGGCTTTATGTTCAGTTTTTTCTTTTCTCTTTCATTCATTCAGTAGCATTAATTCTATGCCGGCTATATATTAGGCACATTATTTAAGACACCCATCCTCACACTGGGGACCAGATAAGCTGTGGCTTTGGTCCTATGACCTCCACAGGTGTATACCTGACCCACAGGTATAAACCTTAGGCGTGTCAAGTACAGAAAGCTGTGCCCAGCCTAGAATAGCCAAGCCAAGATTCTAATGGGGCTCATGTCTCAGCCAGGGAAGACCCCATGTCACAGCAAAGCCCACCTCTTCGGGACCCCATCTCTCTCCCCAACTCAACCAGAGATTCTCTCCCCACCATCCTCCCCTCCCCAGTTCTGGCCTACCTGAGAGGGACATGTCACTGGCCTTCTCTCTCTTGCACCGAATGGTTCGTCTTTCTGTCCTGCTGGCTTCATCTAGAAAAGGAGGTGATCTTTAGAACAGAGAATTCTTGCATAGGTGGCCACATCCTGGGGTACCACGGACAGAGGCTTTTTTGCCCAGCACTTCTCCAGGTGTGACCCTGGGCCAGCAAGGAGCCTTAGCATCATCTGGGGACACGTTAGAAATGCAAATCTCCAGCCCCATCCCAGACCTACTCAAGTCAGAAACTTTGGCGTGGAGTCCAGAGCTGTGCATTTTAACAAGCCCTCTAGGAGATCCCAGTGCACCCTCCAGTTGAGGCCCCCCAGCAGGAGGATTCAGTGATTCCAAGCCCACCCCTCCTGATGTTCCAGAAGGAGACATGGAATGCTAGAGGCAGTGAGCTGGGACAGGGACACCACCCCTGATGAAACTTCCCTCAGAGAGGACAGCAGGGATAGGAAGAAGGAAGGGCAAACACCTGGCTTTTGTGTCAGGCAGGCACCTCTCCCCAGGGCTCCCCTTCCCTTCATGTGCACGAAACCCCGTCCAGTAGGGAAGGAAAGCCTCTACTAGCTGAAGACTGCTTTCGTGGCTGGGAGTGACGCCAGTTATGGGTTCTGCCTCAAGTCCCATGTCCTTAACCGGGACCCAGAGGAACAGACATGAGGCACAGCATGGCCCCCATTCCCAAACAACTTGAATGTCTCGGGGTTCAGGAATGAGTGATGGTGGGGTCAGTGTTGATCTGGGCAACTGCTTAAATGATTACCGATGCCTAGGGAACACAGACAGAAAGTGCATGGTGTGCCAGCCAGGGGTACAGCGGGTGAGACACTCAGGTAAAAGCACTGAGGGGCAAACGGGAAAATGAAGGCAGCTAAAGAGTTCAGTGGGGAGAGGGCTTGTTTTTTTTGAGAGAGAGATGGGGAGAGAGGGAGGGAGGGAGGGGCAGAGAGAAAGAGAGAGAGAGAGAATCTCCAGCAGACTCTGCTGAGCGCAGAGTCAACACGGGGCTCCATCTCACAACCCTGAGTTCTTGACCTGAGCCAAAGTCCAGAGTCAGACACTTAACCGACTGAGCCACCCAGGTGCCCCATGGGCTTTTTTTTTTTTTTAAGTTCCTTTTGTTATTTTTATTTTTATTAAAGATTTATTTGAAAGAGAGAGAGAGCGTGCACTAGCAGGGAGAGGATGAGAGGGAGAGAGAATCTTCAAGCAGACCCCCCCATTGAGCGTGAAGCCCAACACAGGGCTTGATCCCAGGACCCTGAAATCATGACCTGAGTTGAAATCAAGACTCAGCCACTCAACCGAGTCACCCAGGCACCCCTAAAGTCCTTTTGTTATCTTTAAATGGTCATTACATATACGTGAACACTTGAAGGATGAGGTGGCTTTGAGAGAAGACAGATTTCCTTTTGCACCTGCTATTCTGCCATTTGGGAAACTCATGTTTGCTGTCAGCCCTACGGCCCACAGGTACTGGGCTCTCGTGGCAGCTTTGTCCCTCACCTCTCTTCCAATGACTTGACAAAGGACACAAAAGGCAGGAGGCTACTAGATGGAGTGCCCTGTCTGGCTCAGTCATGGGCTCTGCCATCCTCCATGAAGATTTTAGATTCTTCAGCAATATCTTATCCTGGCATCTGTGCCCCATAAACAAGAAGCAAGGAGAGACCTTTACCCTTCTTGGGATTAGCTCTCACCCAAATGGACAAGGTCAGATAGGAGAGTGTAGTTAACGTAACCTTTTGGAAAAGGAGTGGCAACCCTTTAGCTCAAAGGCTGGAGGAGGAATGGGAATTCCCGCCTTCTTTCAGTTTTATTCTGAAAGTGGACACTCCTAGAAACGGGAGGTCCCACCCAGAATGTTCAAGGCTGCTCTCTGCAAGGGAATGTTCAGTGGTGGCCTGCCTTCTTCTCCCCTCCAGTCTTTCAAGGAATTAATCAATAATAGAGTCTGGAAAGAAACTTTAAAAGAGTCACATCTTACTAATTCTGGTGGAATGGACATAGCAGAGTCCATTTTTTTAAGGACCTTAAAGAAGGGAAATTCATAGGCTTGAATCAACACTTTCCTTTAAGAGCCTTTCCCCGAATGTCTCTTGATTAGTCTCCTACATTCTTCCTGCTCCTCTAATGCCCTTTACACCCACTCGGACCCCCTACCCTCCTTGGTGCTCAGAGAGCATGGAGAATGACGTGGCCCATCCAAACGTCCCCTCCCACTCCTCTGTACCGCGCACAAGTGCACGTAGGCTCTGGGGACGGCGGGGGCTGCTCTTTGTGCTCTCACTCCCCTTCTCAGTCCCGGAATCACCCACATCTCCTCTCCACAGCCTCCCTGCCACACTGGAATTAACTGGAATGTGGGAGGGATGACCTTAGACATTCTCTCCCAGGGGAATTCCCACCCGACTGAGCAATTCCTGAGGGTTCTCACCCGGCCCCACGGCTCCAACGCCTCACGCGGAGCTTGGCGTATGGTGCCGGGTGGGGGGGGGGCGGGTTCTGTGATTGCTGGAAGGATCTAGGAATCGAGTTCCCCAAGAGTGGGTCTCTTCAGAACTCGTGTTGCATAAGAATTATCAGAAATTATTGAGGAGGCAGCTGCGGCGGTACGAAGGGCCAAGGGGATGAATGATGTCTCCCACCCCAAATCCTCCAGCTCTGTGCCAGGAGCTCAGCTTCAGTCTGGGGGAGTGTCATGCTGGGGTGGTTCCAGGGTGTTTCAGAAGCAGGGCTGCTCTCCCCCTCTCCTGCAGGCGTGTGCAACCTTCCTTTGCCGGCCCTCAGAGCTTACAGGGGCCCTGGGGCTGGGCTGGGGAGAGAAGCAGCGGACCTTGAGCCCCTGTGGTCACAGCGATTGTGTTGGCCCCTCTGTGCTCCCCACGGAGGAGGGTGGTCCTCGTTCAGGGCCCTCTGTGTCTGTGAATGTGGACTTGAATGGACATACCTCGCTTTCATCTCTGTGGTCTCAGCTAAGTCCAACACAGCAGAGACTCAAGGAGGTAGAGGCAGAGACACTCCTGCCCTCCTCGTGTCCCTAGGAAGACACAGGAGTGAACCCAAGGGGGAACCACTCATGTATTTTGCCGCAGCCCTCCAAGGCTGCCTGAGGGTCATCACACCCCTTTGGCAAGTAGAGAAAATGGAGGCCCAGAAAGACCACACGGCTCACCCCAAGAAACAACCCCAAACACGGCTGGAACCAGAACTCAGGCTTTCTGGCTCTTTATCCAGTACCCTTCGCCCTCACCCTTTCTTATGGTCCATGCCTGCAGGAGTGGCCCATGCGTTCTAGCAGCTGTGCCCACTCTGGGAGCCATGGACGTTCTACATTTCACCCCTGAGGAAGCCAGGGGACAGACACACCTAGGGAAGCCCCTCTGTCCCCACTGGCCTGGTGGCAGGGACCTCGAGAACTCTCCCTGGGAAATGACTGGTGCTTGGTTGGACCGTTCTGGAGACCGTGGGGGTAACTGCCCACCCAGGAAAGTTTCCCCCTCCACCTCTGAGCCCTTGTGACACCTACTCTATGTCCTAGTCCTCTGGCCTTGAGTGTGAAACTTTCTGTTCCCATCTGTGGGCCTGCTCAGGCTCATCCTCGTCGTCACCCTCAAGTGGGTTAGAGGGCACCAGGGTGCCATGTGCCTGCGTGAATGTGAAGGCCAGTGCTCGGGCTCATTCACGGCAGTTCATTATCACTGCTGCTTGGCCACCAATGATGATCAACAGCAAGATGAAGGGGTAGAGGGGGAGAAGGAGGCGGAGAGAGGTGGGGGGAGAGAAGGGGAGAGAGAGAGAGGAGGGAGAAGAGCCTTTTCCCTGGATCTGCTCTTTCTGGCATTAGAGGGTCTTCATTCATTCTCAGGGCCTCCTGATCCCCACGTTTCCTCTCTTAGCAGACCACCCTCATACTAACTCTTGTTAATGCATTAGCCCCTTCTTTTCTCCAATCCCTTTGCTCCCAAAAGTCCTCTTGCCTGGGAATGCCCATGCTGACCTCGTCCAATACATCCTACAAAGCCAATTGGAATCCCATCCCCATGGGGCTCTCCTGATCTCTCGCCCATATCATTTTTGGGTGCACAGTCTTGCACATCCCTGCTGGCTGAGTTCAAGTTTACTCTTGTTCTTCTGGGTTGCCTGATCCTTCCAGCCACACCCTGGGTTCAGCGAGGGTGGAGGTCATTTGGCATGTCTTCTGTTATCTTCCTCGGACCCAGCACTGGGCAGGGCACGTTGTAGGTGCCCTTCTGTTGCTTGGGAGAAAGATGACATAGAAGGAGGAGGAAAGAGGTTTGGCTGAGCTGGAATCAGCCCTTCTCCCCCGGAGAGAGGGTGGAGGGAGGGCAGCCCCTCAGGAAGGGTCACATTCCTTTTCTCTGCCCGTCCAAGCAGCAGAGTGGGTTTCTGGAGAAATATCCTACCGACGGGTCAGACCCACTAAAGGGTCCTTGTTCAAAGAAATCAAAAAACAAATCACTGTCTTCTCCAAGGGATGGTGTGAACCCACTGCTGTGGGCCATCCAGGGACCCTGCCTGCTCTCCTTGGGGCTGGCTAATGTGTGCTGAATGCAGTGGCTCAAGGGTCTCAGCACAGCACGTCTACTGAGGAGATGGGAGAAATTTCTTGAACCAAGGAGGAAGAAAACCAAATTTCCATCACTGGAATTCTAAAAATAGGGCAACTTGGATGGGGAAAAAAAATGGCAAAATCAGGTCTCTGTCCAGTGCCCTGGAAATGTTCACAGTTTTGATGTTCTATCCTATCCACAGACTGATCCCAGCTGGCCCTGGGGGCCCTCCGTAGTCTGGGGAAAGCCTGTCATAGGTACAGTAAGAAGAGCCCACATGTGGTGAGGACTCACTGAGGGCCAGGAGTAAGCCACACACATGACATGTGTTGGGTCAGGGGTTATGATCAGGAATTTGCAGAAGGGATGCTGAGACCCTACATTCACACAGCTAATGAGGAGTAGAATTAGGACTTCAACCCAGGTCTTCATCATTCAAAGTCCGTGCTCATCACGGGCACCACCCTGGGCCTTTGAGCCACGTGATGGTAGAACTGCTATGTGAACCTGACCCCCAGTGCCCCACTCCAAGTGATGTCACCTGCATAGACTCGGAGGAGACATCCTGCCTCTGGGAAGAATAGGACTGTGGTGGCCCAGACCTGGGATAAGGTGAACTCCCCAGGAGGTCAGAGCTGGGCTGTCACTGGGTATGGGAAGGGTCCCTGGTGGCCCAGAATCATCATCCTGGGGCCCTCAGGCATCCTGCAGCCCCTCCAGACCAGTGGGCACAGTGGGTGTGGCGGTGGAGGTCCTTCCTCTCTTCCTGTGTGCCAACCCCCCAGCAGGCACAGCGGGCCCCTGGGGCCCCAAGCTACTCACCATGGTGTTCCAGAGATTCAAGGCGAGTGTGCTGGGATCCTGGAGTGGTTGCTCCCCCTGAAAGAGAACCAGATAAGAACCCCTGTGCACCCCTAAGGATGAGGTGACCTGATGCGCACTGTGAAGCTCTCCCTGGCAGAGACGGGGTGGCCCTGACCTGTCCAGACTCTCTCTCAGTCCCATCCCCACCAATAATGGTGGGTACTTACAGGACCCTGTCTGGGGCCAGGGCTCAAAGGTGGGGGTCTGAAGGGGGACGTCAAATGTCTGGCTGCTCTTTGTTATCTTAAGGCTGTACATACTGAGCTAAACAGAAGGAGCAGGTGACGGGGAAGTGAATCAGGTGTGGTCTGAGTGGGGGTGGGGAGGATGGGGACTAATTTTCCTCCTCTTCCTTTTAAACCACTATCAGAATATCACTGAGGTCCTAGAGGGGACACCATGACTCCAACAGGCAGGCTCCAGGAGCCTGGAGGGAGGGAGCATCCCAGATGCACAGTGCTAAAGCCTCAGCGAGAACTTATGGAGCATGCGTGAACCCACCATAGTGCTCATGGTCTGGGCAGCCCCAGTGAGTCAAGAGGCATTCGTCCAGTGACCTGGGGGGTGGGTGGGGGCAACTCCAAGTACCCTCCCTCCCAGGAATGGATGTAGAGCGTGCGGATGGGGGTCATGTGGGCTGCCCTGGAGATTCTATCCTGAATAGTCACAAAAGCTAGGAGAGACTGAGGCCTCCTAAGTACCAGTATTGCTCTGAGTTCCATACACATATTTATTTACTCAACGCAATCCTGACAATCAGCCTAGAGGGAGAGAAAGTAACAGCCCTGACTTCACAGATGAGGAACCAAGGCACAGAGAGTGCAAATAACTTGCCCAAAGTCACACAGCTGGCCCGTTCCAGAGCCAGGACCTGCCTGGATCGAGTCCATGCTCTACCTTTGGGCAGCTCTGCTTCTAAGAACCTACCTCATGGGGCTCCCCAAGCCCGTGGGGGAAACTATCAAGAAAGTATAAGAGAATACCACAGCCCTTCTCCCCCAACACTGTATATACTAGGCTTGGGGAAGCCCAGCCAGGCTGGGGCTTCTGTGGAGGTGAGGGCGGGAGGGGGGAGGTTTGGTTCAGGCTCCTCACGGCAGCCCTCACTCACCGAAGGTGGGGTCTCGTAGAAGGCAGGCTGGAAAACCACCGCAAAGGACTCCTGTTCGTTGTACTTGCTGGAGGCCAGGAGACGGTCCCAGCTCTCCTGAAGAAGGGAGCAGAGAGGTGGGCACCCAGAGCACGAGCAAGACCCAGCTTGCCCCATCCCCCAACCAGGGAGCTCTGAGCGGCCCCAAGGTCAGGATCACCCATCTGCGCTGTTCAGAGTTAAATGTTATTCGGAAGCTCCCCCTTATCTAGCACATCAGGGCCCTTTGATGAACTAAATCAGGTTTTCATTTTCCTCTGAAGCCCCAGCATCAGGCGATACATGAGATGGACCTGAAATATATTCTCTGGAAGCTCAAGAAGTACACGCCAGCCCGGCACATGCTAGAGCCCCGTGCTCTCCTCAAGGGCTGTGTTTTGTAAAGGGAGGAGCTGTTAGCCACTCCGAAAAGGTCATGTCCAAAGTGAGAAGAGCCATATACAGCTTCATGTGAGACTTGCTTCTTAAATAAAAACCATCACGGTAACACAGGTCAGGAGGAACTTGTGCTTTGAGCTGTTTGCTGACAGGGATGATGGTGTCCACTGAGCCACCCACGCTCCCTTGGATCCCTTCTCTAAACCAGAATGGCTCATCTTCTGGAATCCTGACTTGCCCTGGGGCTGTGGTCTAGGAAGGAAGCCCAGCCTGGGCAAAACCAGCTCACCAGCCACGGATGCATGGTGCAGGTGGTGATGGCAACCAAAAGCATTTCAGAATGAACCTGCGAAGTTCTTCTTGATCTTTGACTTTAGGTACCACGACCGCCCTCCCCCCGCAACCAGTGTTTAGTCCCCACTTCACAAAAGGAATACCAACGCATCGCTGGGAAGAGAATGCAGAGGGGCTCTCTTTGGTCCCTGACTCTCATCCTGAGTTCAGTGGAAGAAGTCCGACATTAAGGAGCTTGCTCCCTCCCTCCTTGTTCCTACCATCCCTGCTCTCCTCCAGAACCACCTGCCCCTGGGGGCCAACAGCCAGCCTCCCAGAGTGGCCTCACCTGATAGGACCACTGTGTCACCACCTTGGAAAGCTTCGAGGTCTCCCCTGAGTCCCTGCAGGGCTCTGCCGTGGGGCTGCTGGTTAAAACAAGCCAGAAATGAGAGTGTGGGTGCCATGTTGGCCATTCAGGCTGCCCATGGGGGAAGTAGGGTGCGGGGGGGGACCCTGGGAGTTGCTTAAGGAGTGTGGAAGGAGAAGTTGGAAGTCTTAGAGGTTCTGGAGAAGGAAGGAGGCACACATCGGGGAGAATAAAGGGTAGGGTCTCCCTCCCAGGACTGAAGCATGTGGAGTGCCCCACACTGTGCTTGACACACGGCGGTCAATGAACAGTTTCATTTCACTTTCCCTTTTTACCTGAGCTGAGTCCCTTGGTCCCAGGGAGAGACCATGAGAGTCTCAGAGAGATCCACCAGGTTCACAAATGCTTTGGGGACCTAGGAGGGGACAAGGGAAAAGATGAGCATTTGCGAGGTCACCACGGCTGCCCAGGGGCTTCTCTGGAACCCTGGGTTTGAGCCTTTTTGGCATCTGGTTGAACATGGCGGGCCTCTCCTTGGTTAAAAACCTCCTTTGGGAGGTGTTTGGTTGGGGTCTGTCCAAAGCGGCCAGCACAGCCAGCCCTGCCATTCACCATCTGTCACGGGGACAGGGCATCTTCCCACCCCAGTGTCAACAAGGGGAGCAAGTCCTCAGGGGCAGTGGGCCTTTTGGAAAAGCTGCCTCCCTGGGGAGCAAAGGGTGGGGGTGAGAGCTCCCCTGGGTTCTCAGAACTGCAGTGCTCATAAAGGTCACTTTAGAAAGGGAAGGCCCTGGGGCTGTCCCTGCCCCAGACTTAGAGGCTTCAGGGAAGAGGAGGGTCACTGAGACCCTAGGGAGGAACAGTGCTCTATCCCTTCTTCCTCCCCAGAAGCCTCACTCAGAAATGTCCTTCTCCCTTGCGTCTAGGTTTCCCTCCTGAGTCCATTTTCCTCATCTCAGTGGAGGGCCCCTTGAGAATAAACTGGCATCTGCCCCATCAACCCTTGGAAGGGCAGCTTCCGTCTCGCTGCCCAAGATGTAAGCAGGGAAGGGCAGCTCAGGGCCTGTGGTCCCCGGGCACTGGGGAGCTGCAAGTCTCACCTCCTGGTGCAGGTAGTCCAGAGCCCCAGCTAGCACATCCAGGCCTCCCGCCACGTGCCTCTGCTGGGAGAGGAGAAACGTGCTGAGCGCAGGTGGGGATGGGCACTTGGGTCTAAGGATGCGCAGGTTCCTGCCGGCCTGTCCCTTTCTCTCTCCAGCCCCTATCTGAGTCCTTAAGTCCAGAAGTAATTGGGTTCCCCTCCCCTTTGGACCTGATTTTCTTCAGAGCAAAGTGATTCCATTAGCCTTTGGGACTAAGTCTGGTCCCAGATTGTTGTCCATTATCTGACTTCCCCAACCCATCACTCACCAGGAAAAACCAGACTCTCCCAAATGGGAAGTTCCATGGCAGGGAAGGGCAAACCAAGGTCAGGGCCATTCTAAAGCTCACAAGGAGGGAGGGGACACCAGACTACTCCCAAAGGCTGATGGAATCAATTTTATCTGAAGAAAATCAGGCCCAAGGAAGGAAGACAATTAACCCCTGGATTTAAGGACCCAGATGGGTCTCAAAACTTCTACATGGCACTCTTTTATCAGACCTCCCCCTGTCACATGGGCCCAGGGGAAAGGGCTCAGGGAAAGAATCTGAGCCAGCTCCTGTTACTGAGGATTTCAAGACACCTCCTACCCACCCAATTCTTTGTTGGTCATGAAAATAAATAAACAAAGGAGAGGACCTCAAAAATCACCCTGGTTTACCTTTTCAGGGTAAAAAAAAAAAAAAAAACTAATAAATTTTACAACAAGGCAAACTCCTAAGCAGCCTGCAAACCCGCTGTCCCCTGAGGCGACTTGGCTCAGACAGGATGACATGGGAGGCTGAGTTCCCTTTCTGTCTCCTGGGGGGACACAGGTAGGGACTCTGGAGACAGCTGTCCATAACTGGAGCTGGAAGAGCCCTGAAGGGCAGCTCCTACTCCCGCCTCCCTGCTTTGAGCAAAGGTATCCTCTCAAGGCTGGTTCAGCCTGCTCTGTTGCCATAGCCAGAAATAGTCTTTTGTCTGTTTCCTGCAGTCTAAGTGAGTCTCTCCCTGAGCATGACATTCAGCATCGCACTTTCCCTTCTGAGGCGTCTTGGGAACTCTGCCTAGCAAGGTCCTTGCTGCCCATCTTTACCACATTCAGGGCATCCGTCTTCCCTAGGGACCCCGGGGGATCCCTGTGTGGTTTGACCCTGATGGCAAGCCCTGCTGTAGAAACTCCTTAGTCGGGGTGGTGGCAAAACAATAGTTTATCTTTGACTTTGATGTTTTAGTTTAAAGGCAAAAGCATTTGTGTATTGTTTGTCCAACTGAAAATAAAATTGAATAGTGCGTAATGGATATGTACACACAGAAATGCGCTGTGTAGGCAAGAATGCTTAAAGGCATACCTACATGAAAGAACACAAGAATCCACATAGGAATGCTTGAATGGAAGTAATGTGTATTTATCTTTAAGGAATCATGAATGAGTGTAAGCATCAATGAATGCATTCAAACATTTTTAAAAAATCAAACAAATGCTAGCATAAACAAACTCATTACACATACAATAGCACATGCCTGCAGGTAAGAAGAGAGGATGGATCTGTGCATGACTGGGTAACTTATGGCTGGCTGGCTGGCTGGCTGGCTGGATGGATGGATGGATGGATGAGTGGATATGCAGGGGAATGCAGCAATGCCTAGATGCTCGTTTGAGCACTTCAGTGCATGAATGCATAAATTCATGAATAAACGTTGGTGTGTATAATGACCAGAGCAGAGAATAAACAGGGCATGGAAATTTCACTTGGTGCTGGAGAAAACGGGGAGTAAAGTAGAAAAATTAGGCTTCAAGATCTATGTGCTACAAACCCAGGAGATCTGCAGGAATACTGTTCCACAAAAGCTGGTCAGGGAAGGTGGGCCTCCATCAGCATTCTCCCAGGGCCCAACATCAGTAATGGAAGGGGAGGGTTGATGGTGGGCTAGGAGTCAGTGGGAGCGTAGGGCATTTGAAGGAAGGCAAGAGCATGTGTTGTGGGAGAGGGGCCACAGGAAAGAGGACAGCACCTCAAGAAACCCCATCCATGCCTGTGTCATGGTCTGGTGGCAGCCCTGGGAGGTGGCTGAGCGAAGAGTGGCCAGGTAATTGGTCTGCCACCAGGGGCTTACGTGCCTAAGGTTCAGCTCCTGAAGAAGAGTCTGTGAGCCATTTAGGTCACCATAGCCTGGGTATGTAAACCACTCCTTAGACTTTCAATTGATCTTAACTGGGACTAATCTCCAATAAAGACTTAAATCATAGATAGTCACCTACATTAATAGAAAGCACAGCCACACGTTTCATGTCCCATTCCCAGGAATGCCAAAGAGCCCGGAAGTTACAGTTTACCTACATAAACACTAGCTTCCCCTTACCACGAGAGGCCATGGGCCAACAGGTGATAAGAGCACACATATCCTGCTTTATTTCCCAAATTCAGCACTTAAATACAATCAGAGCCACAAGAGACAAATGATTTTTAACTAGGAAGCTGATTTTCCTTAGTCACAGAATAAACATTGACTCAGCCTCTCTACACCTCAATTTCCTTTTCCTGATATGAAGGATGGTACGTTAAAAACATTCCTTCTGTATATGGCTCCTCGAGCCCTTAGATATTGACACCCGTTAATTATCTGTTTGCCCAAGTTCTCAAACAGCTACCACCGGGCCCAGCCTGACAGGTGTAGACCAGGTGGGCTTAGGGTCGTTCCCACTGCCCTCATCCCCACACCAACAACCCTCTGCCTCCCAGCCTGCGGTTTACCTGTTGGGTGGAGGGACAGAGGTGATCCCGGCTTGAGTTACGGAAAAACACATTGATGAGCTTCCAGTCATTTTGAAAATCAAATTGCTGGGGGAAAAAAAAAAAAGGACAAGAGCATAAAAAGAGAGAGTGGTGAGACCTGGCATCAAAAGAACTGTTTTCAAGTTGTTCGATCTTATGACCCATACCCATAAAATCATATTTATGATTTTTTTTTCAAAAGAAGTACATGATAGGAATCTAATGCTGTATAACTGTCCTAGAAGACAATTTGGCAAAATGTATCAAAAGCTAGTTTTTAAGGGCATACCCCTTGATCTAATAATTCCATTCCCCAGCATGTATTTTAAGGAAACAAGGATACATGAGAGATTTAGTTGCAATGATGAAGACTTGTTTATAAATGTGAAAAATTGGAAACAACATAAATGTCCAAAATAGGGGAGTGCTGTGTAGATTGTGGGACACTCGGAAGACGTAGCCGTTAAAAGGATGTTGGAAAATGTAATTATTGTCATGGGAAATAGTACACGGAGAAAAGCAGGCTATAAAAAGTATCTACATCTAGTAACATGCCTGTTTAATAAAACACATACAGATATCTGTGCTTAGAAAAAACATGGAAGGGGATATATACCAAGTTGTTAACAGTAATGATCTCTGGGTATCAGGTTGAAGGATGATTTTAGTATTCCTTTGGTTTATCTGTGTTTTCTGATTTTTCTCTAATGAACATGTACGAATTGCAGAACAAAAAATAAACCTTCATTTTGTTTTTTAAGAGGCAACACGATACACTCGAGGAACCCTGGACTGTGGCTCAGGCACTTTAGATGTTAGCTCTAACTAGCTGTGTGGACTTGGGCAGGTCCCAGACTTCTGGGGACTTCAGTCTCTTCATCTGTAAAATTACGGGATTGGGTTCAGGATCTCCTAGCCATTCTCCAGAAGGTTATGACTATTCCAGAAATTCTGGAATTCTCCCAATACTGCACCTGTCACTGTTCCTGTAGAACCTGGAGTGAGCTGGCTTTAATCCCCGAATTCTCTAATGAATGCACAGCTGGCTGAGACAGCAGGGGTCTAGACTCAGGGCCTGGGCACAGCCAGCTGGGAAGCAAGATTTGCCTCGATTTGGTACTTGTCCATAAGGAGGGCACAAAAGATCAGAGGATGCTTATTGCAAACTCATATGAATTACCCAGTAAAGAGTATCTGAACTGGTAGGAGAACAGGTACCAAGACCTCAGCCTGTATGTTATATCACTTCCACCTAAGAACCAAAACGAATATGGTAATAACAGCAATCATCACCCCAATGACATTTACAACTACAGGCTTTCAATGAGCAATGCTTCTGTGCCAGGCACATCTGACACCCCCATTGAATCCTCCCTAAGCCTGTGTTGCAGGCTCTTTTATTACGCCCATTTCATAAATGGGGGAACTGAGGCTTGGAGCGGTTAAGTGCCTTACCCAACAACACACAGCCAATAGGCCGAGAATTCAGGATTCGTACTCAAACCGTCTCCCCCTGGAACCCAAGCTCTCAACTCTCTCCCTAAGTGTGAAGTCATTTTTATCTACTGACGTTGGGCAGCACTACGCTGTGAACGTAAGGAGTGGCCCTGTGTTTTAATGGACTCCAAAGACTCGCCACGGGAAAGGCATCTTTGGAGGGTCCTGGCCGCGATGCTTGCTGGGTTCAGGGCACGGTGGCAACAGGGACCATGCACCCCCCCGCCCCGGTGCGTTTGGCCTGATCGCCTCGAGCAGACACGGGGAGCCCCAACCTCGGTGAGACGGGTCCTCACCTGGTCCTCCTTCATGCTCCTCACCAGTTCTTCTGCCTGCGCCTGCCAGTCTCTGCACAGAGGGAGGGGGCAGAGAGAAAAACCAGTTGGCTTGAACTTTGCTGAGGGCCAGGAGCTTGCCCCTGGCCCCAGCACAGGTGCCAGTCTCAGAGCCTGAGGCCACGCTGCTCCGCCCCTGGCTTCTGCAGGGCAGACACGGATCTGATTCTTAAAACGAGGCCCATCAGGCAGACTGAAATCCATGCAGGAGACGCATTTTGACTTTGATCTAATACAGACCTTTCTTTCGAAGCCTCTTTGACTTTGCCCACACCCCACCCCGCACCCCGCCCAGGTGCCCAAGACGGGCAGGAGGACACGGCCCCAGAGAAAGCCAGAAGTGGGACTTACTCAACACCAGGGTGGGGTACCACTCTCTTCCCAGGAACACACAGGGGCCTCAGAACAGAGGGGTTGAAATATCTGATGACGTCTGAAAGGACTAAAGAGAGAGCTGCTTTGAGGCTGTGGTCCTGCCAGCTGGAGGGGATCCATGAAGGCTGACGCCCATGGGCTGAGCCGCGAGGGTGGCCGCGCCCTTCACACCCTTCACAACCACCATCGACTATGAGGTCAGCCTGAGTGGGCCGCTGGAAGTGAATGGAGCTAAAAGCCAGCACCTGTCAAGTGCTAGGCCAAGCCAGTGCTGAGTACCCTACATGCGTGAAGGGGAAACTGAGTCTGGGAGAAGTGGAGCAAGCTACTCAAGGTCTCACGGTAAACTGAAGCTGCTGGGATTTGAACCAGGGCTTTTAAACATCAAACTTTTCACTGTCGTGTGCCATCGACTCATTAGGGAAAGTGTGCTGGGACAGGGACCTGGGGAGGCTGCCTCCCAGCCCCCCTTCCTCCTCTTGAGAGTGACAGCAGGGCGGGAAATCTCCAGGGAACATACGTCCCAGAGCTGACAGCCAGAGGACCGCTAAAAATAGTGCTGTCAGGAGCAGTTAAGTTGTGTCTTGCTCCCGAGAGAGGAGAGGGCAGAGCCTGGAGAGTGTCAGTGAGGGAGATGCCTCCCCCCACCCGGGTCCCCCTCTCCCGTTGTCCCCATGCAGAAGCGCCTGGGGCTCTGTGGGAGCACACAGCTGGCACTGGGTGGCAGGAAGTCAGGAGACCAGCCTCTTGGCTTTGTCCGCCTGGGTGGCCACCTAGGTCACATGTGACTCGGGCTTGGTCCTCAACCCCAACTAATGAGCTTCCTTTTCTGAGTCCTGACAACTTGAAGGAGGAGCCCCTTCCCACATGTGGGGAGAAAACAGGAAGTTCGGAGGCCAGCTGCAGACGACAGGGACGGTGTGTGCACCTGCGTGTGAATGTGCGTGCGAGTGGGTGGCTGGGGATGGAAGACACTTTCCCTCCTTCACTGCAGGAGAGTCTGTGAGAGCAAATGACAAAACATGATACCTGGTGCTAGGTCTTTGAAAGAGCTTTCCAAAGTAGAAGTACTTGCACTGTATTACTCCTTTGTGATCAGACGTGACCGTGGAGCTTTTCACGTAAATCTTCCTGTCATTTTGTTTTAGGCCTGCTGTGAACCTCGTCTGTCCTTGCTACCTCTCTCTTGGTTTCCAGTGGGGTCAGAACAAAAAGCACAGGCTGCGGGCACCTGCGTTCAAAGGGACTCTGCCACATACTGATCGTGTAACTTTGGGAAAGTCTGTGTACCTCCCCAAGACTCAGTTTTCCCATCTGCAAAATGGCCATGGTGGGCGAGGGCATGACTAGATTTGAAGAGCTCGGAGGTTTTGGGATTGAAGGACAGGTGGGCTAAGCCAGATGAAGTTGGGGCCAAGCCCAACATACCACTGCACTGGCCTGGATGTCCCTGGAGCTCCTTCTGCTCGGCAGACCCGTTTCCCCTCTGCTGGCTCGGCCACCCACCTGAGCTCCCGGGTCTCCACTCCTCCCCACTTTCCCTATGCAGTAGGTAGGCTGGATGTACCAGCAGCTACAGGTGAGTTCTGCCTTTGGGGACAGTCAGGTGCAAAATCTGCTCTCACCGCCCTGCCTTCTGCGGCAGCACTGGCCAGTGGGACTCCTGGTCACTCTGTCGAACGAAGGGCAGTTGGGACTTGTTACTACGTGGGTAAGGGACCAAACAGTAGCGACAAGTTGAGAAATCAGGCAAAGCAGCAGCTGTATTTATGCTTCAGAGGCTAAACTATATCCCATCTTCCCAAACCCCCCAAATCCACCACTACATTTTTTTCCCTACCATTTAAAGGTCAATAGGGCCAAACTGAGGCAGAGCTGTGACAGTCACTGAGTCAGTGGGAGCCTCCTCTTTTGGAACGCTTTGACCTTCTGCAAGGGGATCTTCCAGCCATTTGGGCCCCCAGTATCCCCTCACCTGTCAATCGGACCCTGGAGGGCTGGACACCAGGCCCCAACCTTCCCTGCTGGATGATGAGGGCTGAAAGGACGGGCCGTATCTTAGTCATCCCTGTCCTCTGCCGAGAACCTAATAATCCCCAGGCCCTTGGAGGAATTCGCTGGCTGGATTGACAGGGCACTACCTTCCTTCCTTGTCATTGTACCCGCTGGGGTGTCAGCTCCAGAGGTTTTCTGCTCTAATTAGGAAGTGAAAGGTGGTTTCCTTGTTCTTGACTTGTGAGCAGGAAGCATAGGCAACTAACATCCCGCGAGGCTAATTAAGCTGGCATGAGGGACTCGGGGGCTTCCAAATGACTTAATACAGTTGTAAGGGACCTCAGAGAGTAAATGAAAACAGCCAGGCCACAGATTGCATATTCATAAGCACACGCAGATGTAAAAAGGCCAACATGTTAACAATGACCATCTCTGGGTAGTGGGATTGCAGTTAATTTTTATTTTCTTCTTTTCATTGTCCTGAACCCAACTGACATATTTATTTTACAAGTAAGGGAGTTACTGCAAAATGAAATGGGCTGAAAATGAGACCTGGATCTTCTTGGTGTAGGGAGAAGGGAGTGAGAATGGTGGACCCTTTCCCTCGAGGAAGTGCTAGCAGTCCAGCCCTGTGGTCCTGGGGGAGAAGGAGCTTCAGGACTCTGCTGCCCCTCATGTCTCCGCCGGGTCCCTTAACCTAATGCCTCCTGGCTTCTCTTTGCTCAGAGACCCTCAGACACAGTTCTCACACCCCCCACCTTTTAGGGCATGTGACTTGCCATACCCTGGCTCCTCATCTGTGCTCTCAGAATGCCTCCCTACTCTCCTCAGGCTCCATGAGGAAGTGGCCACTAGGGTACACTCTCTTCACTAACCGAAATGTTGCTGTGTTGGGAGGGATAGGGACAGTCTGGAATCTGGCCGTGAAGACATAGGACTCACCTGTCACCACTTCTATGCACGTCTGCTGTGGCCCTCGGTCAGTCCTGCAGGTAGAAGCAAACACGCAAGCATCAGACTGCATTTGTCAACATTTTCCCTCAACTGCTGTGGTCTCGTTCATAACAAGCTGCGGCTCAGCGTTGCTCTGGTTCTGGATTTATCCTTTCTGGAGCTAGAGACACACTGCAGATGGCTATGGAGCCACCAAAATGGGGTGAACAGCTTTGTTGGACCCTCCTCTAGTCTGGTCCAAAGCTGGAAAGGGATGCAGCCCCCAGAGTAGAAGGAGTCCAACCATGCCTGCTTCCCCACAGAGCAGAGCAAGGAGACGGTGGGAAGCAAGAACGAGGTACTCAGCCCTTCCCACGTTTCTTCCCTAGTCACCCAGAGGACCCAGGGGGCTTTGTGGGCACAGGAGTGTTGGACTGGGAGGCAGGAGGTTTTGTTCTTGTCCTTGTTCAGCCACCTACTCCCAAGGGCACCTGGAGCAAACCATTTCCGCCCCCCAACCCTTGGGTTTCCCCATCAGTGAAGCCAAGAGCTGAGACCTATGCAAGGCTCCTCTCAGCTTGAGGGCTCTGTGGTTCCAGGGTAGTTACCGTTTTTGCTTCTCCAGGTCGACGGTCCCTGAGTCTGGAGGCTGGAAAAGATAGGAGGCATGAACAACCCAGCCAAGGAAGGCGGCAGAGCCTGTCCTTGGGAGACTCCAGCTGCCAGTCAGACACCCCCTCCCACCAGCAAAAGGGAGCCCACGGGTCCAGAGAAAGGCGAGCCTGCTCACGAATGTCAAGCTTCCTTGGCAGCTTGTGGGTCAGAACTCAGAGCACCTGAAGGTGTGAATGTTTTCTTCAGAACCGGAGACAGGGACAGGAGAGCATAGATTTAAATGCGTCTATGTAGACTGTTAACCTCTCCTTAGACACAAAAGGGATTGTTTTATTGTGTGACTGTTCTAATCTGAAATTTTGTTTATTGCCGGTCTCCCCAGACTCAAAAGTGTAAGTGCCACGAGGGCAGGAGTTTGTGCCCGTTTTGTTCTGGACTGTATTCCTTCTACCTAGGACGGCGCCTGACACATCCTAAGTATTCGATCAATATTTGTTGGCTAAATATTTTTTGAATGGACAAAGTAAGTTTCTGATTTTCCTCTTGGTAAAATGCTGGACAACACAGGACACGGTCTGCCAAAGAGGCTCCCTGGCTGGAGGACTGAGGCGGGACCCTGGGAGGCACCGGGGAGTTGTGTCCTCTGCAGGGTCCCAGGGAACTTAGGAATTGTGCCCAATGTATATAGAAAGTACTCGGTACGTGTTAGCTATTGTCAGTAGTAGTATTTTCACAGGTCCTGACACAAATTTTCTCTCTCAGAATTCCTCAAAGACAGTGTCTCCAGGTGTGGTGACAGGTGACAGTTGTACCCACACTGCCTACACCCAGTCTGCTGCTACTTCTCTTTAAAGAGCCTGTCTGTCCTTAACCACCCAGCTCAAATGACAACCAGTCTATAAAACTGGGTCACCCCTCTGGAGCCTTCTTGGGAGGGCAGGCTGACCGCAACCTCCCTCTGAGTGGGATGGAGACTTTTACTCCTCAGTAAGGAGTTTGAAAGGCAAAATTTCCCAGGGAAAGGCAGCAAGTTAAACAAAAATCCCACGACAGTGCTAGTCAGGAATCGGAAGCCAGGATGGCAGGCAGGTGAAGTCTGGAGGGAAGGCGGCTCCTGGGCTGAGGCAAAGTGGACAGCCTGTGCCCAACCAAAGGGGATCTGAATGATAGCAGAGCTCTTGCCTAGAACAAGCTTGTTGGGGCTGGTGAGGGGAAGGAAAGGGAGAGAACAAGAGGAACAAGGTGGGGGTGGGGCCGGCGAAGAGCTCAGTGAGGAGTTCCAGAAAGGGAAGGCTGGGACAAACCCAGCAAACTCCTATGTCTCCATCTTGCCTGCGGCAGCCATATTCTTCCTTGGCTGAATGCATGATGGCGCTAGAGATGCAAACCTAATTAAGACACAAACCCTGTCTTCAAGGAAGTTGAGACAGTGGATTGTAACTTCCCTGGCATGGAAAATGTCTAGAACTCTTAGGTAGGCAAACAAAGCAAAGTAAAAAACAAATCACAGATAGTATGTTGCAGTATAACCCTATTTTGGTTACTCTCTCTCTCTCTCACTGTATGTAGTGTGTGTGTGTGTGTGTGTGTGTGTGTGTGTGTGTGTGTGTGTGTGTGTGTGTGTGTGTATTGGGGCAGAATAGGTGATCAAATGAAACCCTCAATTTTTTATTCTATGTACATGTGTTTTATTTGATTTTTTTCTTATAGTGAACATGCATCACGTATGTTAGCTTGCAAATCATTTTTACAAACATTTGCAAATCTGATCTTTAACGTTCGGTGAGGAAAAGCTTGTCCAGAGCAATTCAATAAACACGGGCTATAGGCACAGGTAAGAAAGATTGTGCCTTGGTGACAGAAAGCTCCAGGAACTCGAAAGAAAAAAAAAGTACCAGCATTATGAACTCTTTTCTTTCTTTTGAAGATTTTATTTATTTATTCATGAGAGACACAGAGAGAGAGAGAGGCAGAGGGAGAAGCAGGCTCCCAAGGAGCAGGGAGCCCGATGCGGGACTC